TGTGGTTTGCAAGGTTTATCCTCGTATCGCAGAAGTTAATGTTTTGCATTTTATTCTCTGGTTGCTTCTGCCACATTGCATTCGATCGTTTGCAATGAACGGTGTTCACTGCAAGGTGTTTGGCCAGTTGCCGGCTGTGCGCCTCTCCTAACGTGAACATCCATTACCAAGTGTCGTAGGTGATGCGAGATTTGATTATCAAATTGATTCCGTAGTCAGCACTACCTACAGACCACCTTTTGCTTCCTCCAGCAATGACTCAAATTGTCCCTCCGAACTGGACGCACTGACCTGTGACAGGGTCAAAGCCTTAGCCTGCTGCAACTTCCATTATACGATTGCCATCCAACTGCCTTCAGGCTTCCATTCAGCGATTCAGCCAGATCACCAGCACTGCTCCCAACGCTGGTCGTGAAGTCAACACCTGAGTAGAATAACTTTCACCTGCAAAAGTTCAGAATTCTAGAGTCCATGACCTTCGTTGACGAGAGTTTAACCATGTGTGGTCAATTCTTCGCGGCCCCATTATTTAAATTAGCCTCTTTCCCTCTGGGTGAAAATAAACTCTGATTTTGAGAATGTGTTCCTAACGTTTGGCATCGTGGAACCTGTTTGGCTCTTGTTAATCCGGGTGACCATCAAGCCGGTCCAATGTTTGATAACTGCAGTAACCTGAAAAGGAGGTAGCTTATTTGGCAGAATATTTTGCCACGGTCCCCGACTCTCCTCCTGTTTCATCCGAACAATGGCGGAGTTTCTAAACTGTGTTGTAAATCAAAACTCATTATATTTCGATTGTGAATTTATCCTTATCATGGAAAGATCTTAGTTGGCTGAAACTATAGGCATTTTTCTAGATGTGACCTACGCTTCCCTGATTTTTATGAAAAGTTTCAGAAAGTCCTGGTATTGACTCGACACAGTTACCTCGCTTCTCATTGTCATTTTTTAATTTTAATTCGCTGGACTCATTTTCTGCTGCTGAAAGCTATTCTGAGCAATCCAATGACATTCAGTATACAGCTTTCATTTGAAAGGTTGTCAGATAACACTGCAAAGTATGCAAGGACTGGAAAAACCACAGAAGTAGAATTCGGGTGTCTCGTTAAAAGACAAAAACCTTAATGTCCGCTATGAGTGACCGATCTTCTGATGGACTGTTGGTTTTGTAGCTGATGCATTGTAGTTCTTATATCATTGCATCGAAGATGGCACAGGGAGTCGCACAGGCATTGGCATTCCATCTGGATCGAATAAACACGCATTCACATCTCAGCCATTTCGATGTCATGTCACTTCCAACGAAATCTTCCCATCTTGTTGGAGGTCTTCTTAGCGACCGTCTGCCACTATGATTTGGGTTCAGACCTCGCTTCGAATGGCGGCTAGCGCCCATTCGCTAGCCAGTGACTATACCTACTAAAGTGCCTTGTTTGCAGTCGGTGTGTCACTCTAACACAGCGTCACGCCATGTAGCACCATTTCCTCCTAGTACTTATCTTAAAATGTTCATTTCCTCCCCTCCAGTTTTCTGGAGTTTCTGTTTTTTTAGCTTTGTTGAATGCCGCCTTCTGCA